CAATGAAAAGGTGAGCTCTGCTTATTTCCTACATCATACATTTGAAGTGGCCAGTCAGGATATGTCGAAGGTGGGAGGCTGTGAATTCAGGGGTGGATGCTGGGTGGTTTCTGTCAGTCAAAGTGACTGACTGAGTGAAGGGCCAATTGGAATTCAACTGGGGGAACTGAACAACACTAGTTCTTTCAGATGACAACAAGACTGGGTGTTTAGGAGATGCTGTTTTCAAGAGCAAAGTGCAGTAGAAGAAGTAGGCTACATTCCTAAGATATCTAACTTTATTAGCAACCAACTGAACAAAAACAAAACAGTACCACTACAGCACAGTACAAAATAGAAACTATCAACAACAACTTAAAGAAAGGGAAAGTATTTTCTTTTGTGTACCTCCTGACATTGCAGTCAAAGGGAACACAAATGAAATATGGTCATTCACAATGAGAACATTGTTGGACCCGACAGGAAATTCACTTATATGTAGCCAAAGACAGCGATTTGGCTTAGTGCTGTGCAGTGTTTTTCTACGGTTTCAAGGTTATCTTAAAAATCTTATTAAAGAATAAAAATGAAATTTTTAATAATGTTAAGTATTTAAAATACACAAATAAAAGCTACAGTTGGTAACTTTTATGAAAACCTACTGTCACTATATTCAAACAGCACAATACGAGACAGACAATCTGTGAAAAAATTATACTCCCCTGCCTCTGTTGCCTTGTAGCGTTTCTAATGGCCTTACCACATGTGAAAACAACCAATCAGAGCTGAGGAGTCTCTAAAGCAGCTGTTAATCACTTCCAATGAACTGTGGTAAAACTTAAACTAGGCAGCCATATGAAGCAAGATTCTTTTACTATGTTATTGCTTTGCTATTTTTAATGTTAAATGTTTTCGGAAACATATTTTAGTGCACTGTTTAGCTGTTAAATGAGAAATTTGTTGGATACAGTTAAACACAGTAACAAGCCCCGCCCACCAGCTGGACCAACTTTCTCATTTTACAGCTAAAAAGCTAAAATATGTTTCTGAAAACATTTGAGGCAAGAAATGCAGTTACAGAATCTTGATTCATATTCAATCAGTGCTATCTGGTTTGAGAGTTTGACCACAATTCGTAAAGCAACTGATATGATTGACAGCTGCTTTAGAGACTGTTGGGCTGCACTGATTTTAGTGAATGCCATTAGAGGCAGTAGGAGGGGAGGCGTGACATGATTTTTTACAGACGGTCCCAGGTACTTCTCTCAGAATATAATGACAATGTCAGCAAATATGACTATATGAATATTTTAATAAAAGTTACCAACTGTAGCTTTAAAGTATTTTGTTAAAAATGACATGTTATTTTTTATGTCCAGAGAAATACAAACCTCAAAAGAAATCAAATACATTTTTAAATACATTTAAGTGAAATACTGCCCATCTTTGCTGTTAATAATGATGAGGTTTCTAAGAACAAACAGAGGGTCAAGGTGACCTTAGTGCTTAAAACCAGTCCTTTCCAGATTCTTGAACACTCTGAATGCATGCATGATATATTACTGTCACCGTAGAATCCCTGTAGAGTGTTTTTTCAAGATTTGCCTCAAGTGCTTAGAAAATTTAAACTGTAAGCTGTGTGAATACATTTGATATCAGAGGTGGCCTCTAGATGGCAGTCTTTGAGAGCATTTTTAGTAGTTAAAGGCACTCAAAAATTGCACCTTTTATTGAAGAGTACTTCTATTCACTTTGATGAGAGAAGAATATGTATTATACTGCTGCTATCTTTGGGTATGCAGAGGTTTAGGCTGTTGAAAGGGCTACAGTTCACACCCAAACCTCCGGTCATTGACATTCAATTATTTAATGCTTCTGTTTGGACACTCCCAGTTTGGGTCAATATACAGCTCTCATGTTCTTTAGGTTTAGTTTCAAATCAAATAGAAACTCAAGCAGACTGAAACTCAAACAAACTTGGCAGATGAAGCTTTAATGCAGAAAGATTATGATCAGTGTCACCCACTTAATGCACTGCAAGCTCTGTGTTGATCAGCCCTGCTTTGTTGAGAGTCTGAAAAATTCAAATGTTCTTGTAATTTTTTCATGTGCCGAAGAGACACAGCCACCATGCGGTCCTGATAACAGGTGGTGATGATAACAGGGGAGTAAATAGAGACTTCAAGTACAAAGAGAGAGGAGATGCATGCTGCTGTGTTTACTCCGCTCTTCAGCCTGTTTCTATTCATAGCGTGAAAACTACAGTATCAGTTCAACAGTGTGTGTGTGTGTGTGTGTGAGTGTATGTGTGTGTGTTGTAATAGGCTGTACAAGATTATTTGCTGTGGTGAAATCATGGTTTTCAGTATTTTTCTCATTCACCTCAGCTCATCTTCTTGCACTAGCTTTAGCTGAAGTCTGTTGTTTTTGTGTGATCCGCTGATTTTTGTCTCATGAAAAGAAATAACTTTGATGGTGCACCTGCACTCATCCACCTCCCTTTCCTCTTAACATCCTAGCAGGATTTTGACAGAAGCTTTTTACCATGACAAACAGCTAGATTCACTCCTGTTTAGGGGTAAATAGCATCAGTTTCAATTCACAAATGCTGAGCTTCTTAAGTTTATCTACACAGGAAAATACATTTTTCCACATACCTTTTGTTTCCTGTTTAAGAAGTCTAATCCACTCTTGAAAGATTTTTTCAGACTTGCAAAATACAGATCACATAATGCACAAAAGAATGCATTTGATATGAAATATCCATCGCTACATGTGCAGGTGTAGCTACACTCAGAGATGCTCACCACAAAAGAGCGCAAACAAATTTACTGTACATACAACTGAGACACAAACACCAAAGCACTCATGCACAAACACACACACACACACAGTGAACAATACAACAAAAAACATGAAAGCAGACTTATGTGGAGGTATAGTAAACACAGATGAGGGACTGAAAGGAAAAAATATGAAAGGGATGTGTGGGAACTTATCCCCATTTTAATGCTGTGACAAACAAAAGTTGCTGCTTAGTGTCCCTCATCTGTTTATAGGGGCCATGTGTCATTTTTTCCAATACACTACTCAACAGTGCTTCAGGGATTGAGCCTAAACAGGCCTAGTTTATGCCTCTATATTATGTATGGCTTTTATGCAAATGCAACGGTGACAGTGAGCAAAAACCTTTGATCTGGGCGTCTTTGTGGCTGGAACAGTTAATGCAGCAAAAGCATCATGAATCTAATGGGAAAACAGAATCGGGAGTGCAGTGTTGAGATTCTAAATAGAAATGAGGGAACCTGATAACTTCGCCTGCGATGTAAATTAAGAGCTGATACTGACTCCCGCCTCAGAACCCCATATCCCCCTGAGGTTAATGGCTGTATCTATACGGAATTGGCTCTGCCATTACTGCAAAACTAGTTGTTAGATGATGAGATAACACGTCAAGATTGTCATTTCTCCCAAATTAATGAATTACAGAGCATTTAGTAATGAGTTGCTGAGCAGCCATAATAATGGGGTCTTCACCTAAATCCATTCCTGTCTCATTCACTACTATTACCTCATAGTCCCTGCCAGGATCATAATTGCAAAAAAGCAAATGTATCTATTCATTTTCTCCTTGAGTTTACTGGTTCATAAAAAACAGGCATTTTTGAACAATAACCACATAACTGTAGAAGTTTTATTGTTCCCTCTGGTTCTGCTTGGATGGCACAGCAGGCAATTAAAACCCTCTTTATCTCAGAAATCTGGGTACAAATACTGTTCTACTGAGTCTCTTAAAAACAGATTTCAATGACACGAGGTTTTCTTTAGCCAAGAATTCACTGTTTTTTCATGTATGTTTAGACATTATTTAGAATATATTTATTATTATCATTATTATTAAAATAGATTATATAGAGATCAATCTGTTTAGTCTCTGCATCTCACTGTGATGTTGTACATTAGCTCCTCTGATCTTTTTAAAAAATTAGCTGCAGGCTACTTTAAGAAAATTAAAGAAATCAATGGAATATCTCAGGGTCGTAATCAGCTATTTAACATTGGGGGGACCATTTTCAACCTAGAACCTCTGCAACCCAACCCTCCAGGGGAGTGGGAATTCTCCACAGGATAAATTATTTAGACACTTAACAGCAAAACTGACCATTTTGGAGCATTTTGAAACAAAAATGTTAGATCAGGGTTTCTCTAAGTTTTGATGGCTGAATGCCCTTTAAGGGAGCCATCATATGATTGAGGGCGGCACAGGAAAAGTGCACACATTTGACTTTTTTATGACATACTAACACTTTACAAAACCTATTACAGTCGACAGTGATATAGACTAGGTAACACTCATCAAATTCTAGTTTCCCACTTTGTAATATATTTAAATGTGGTAAAATGAAGAGACAGTATTGTGTTTGACACTGATTGTACCTACCCACAGCAACAAATGGCAATTTGTTGGTGGGTGGATGGTGCGTGGTTGCCTTTCGTAGCATAGCAATGTTTTTCCTTTATATATCTTTTATTAATGTAAGAGGGACAGTTTAAGTGTATCTTAATACTGAGGTGTATGCCCCCAACATGTATTTAAATTATATTTATATAAGTACTTTTAATAAAATGTCAACCATGTTATTAACTTTTTGCATCACAAATGCAATCTTAATATGAAGCATGTTTAACCAACTTCTATAAAATGTGCTTTGTCTTAAATTGTTTTGTTGTTTGGTGTTTTGTAAATACAGTATTGGCAATAATAGGTATGCTTTGATGTTCAGCATCATGAGACAGGGTGTGTCCCTTTGTTGCTCTGTGAAAAAGAGACAGCATCCCTTGTCTCTGTTCAAATCTTAATTTCACTTCAAAACAATCCTCGTGATTCCATTGCAAATACACAGAGCATGCTTTGAATTGTATGCATGCACCGAGAAAGCCATAATTTTGTATTAAAAAATTTAATCTGATTTCTTTTTAAGCACTTTTCTGAACTCAATCAAAACACACATATACACAAATAGCTCCAGCAAAAGGGTTTATTTTATTCCTCAGACTACAGTGTCAAGGTAAATACAGACAAGTGCTCAGTGTGTTTTATTAAGCTATGTGCCCTCGTCCTCCAGTGAGTCATCCTTTGATTTTCATTTCTAAAGATGCCATTTTAAAACCAGATGCTATAGAAACAGACAGAGGCTTCGGCTTTAAAGGGGGGTTTTGCCGCCTGGATTTATAAACAAACTAAACTCTGATCTTAAGGAGATTTAGCAAAGGGTAATACCCAGGTATACAGGCACATGTCAGCAACAATACATCTGTTGAATCATGTGTGTTGACTGTATTTGAAACAGTCTGACAGGTAAATGCTTGAGGTGGAGGTATGAATTCTGCTGCTGGGACTTATGACAAAAATACCAGTTAGGCGCGGAGTCTAGTATGACTGCTGGCCCATGGGTGTGAAAAGCTTATCCCACACCTCCACCTTCATGATTGCGTTCTCCAGGGGACTCATGGTGGCCTTGATATCTAGATAGTTGCCCACATAATTGATTCCTGATCCAGTGGCTTCCTCCCTGACAAACCCATGCTCTGTCTGCTTCTTCTCATAGTACATTTCTTTGTACAAATCCTTGTCACAATTGCGGCCCTTTTTGTAGATGCCCACTGCAAACCAGTTCTTGTAGAGGTTGTAGTCCCAGGGAACTGAGAACATGATCGCCACAGACTCAATGTAGTCATTCTGTGACCTTTCAAAAAGGTCATAGGTCATCACGCCAATGCTGCCAGTCGCTCCACCCCTGGACTTGGAGAAAGTGCAGACCTCTGCCTTTAGAGGGCGCACTGTGGGCTGAGGTGGGTTGTATGTCTCTCCATTCTCAAGGTACACCCTGTCCAAACACACAAATAAGCACATGTATTACACAGTCTTTTAGATCTATACATTAACATTCAAACATGCCTGCAAGACACCAACACAGTCAGGGCTTACCTTGGGTTGATGAGACAGTAGTTCTTTGTGAAATTTGAGATTTCAATGACGACACTTCTCTTCCTGTCTACATCAGCTGCCACGGCTTCAGCTGACTCCATGATGTTAGAATGGGTGTGAGATTTCCTTGTAAAACAACGGTACAGTAATTTAAGTGTTAACCGTGTGAATTTATCGACATCACAGGTGCGACTATCACTTCCCTGCACTCCTACAGTAAAGACACTGGGAATCACGAGGATCACACTTACTACATGACAAAAATATCATCCTGACCTCTGCTCTGCTGACATGCTGTAATAGCATTACATTGAAAAAGTGTGCATAAACTGGCAGTGGGTATGAATGATGCATTTCAGAAGCTAATTTGATTTCAGAACAGTTGTGAACAATCACAGAAAAGCTGCAGACTCTCTTTCCCTCATTAGAGAGTGTACTTCTTTAATTACAGCACTTAGTAGCATGCAATAATGAAGTTAGAGTGAAAACAGTAAAGAAAATGATTACCCCTTTTATCAACAGATATAAGATACAAATCAAACAAATGTCCCATCAGGCTTCTGTATGCCTCTATAAATACTATAAATAGCTATTTTCTTCAGCTAATGAGCCATTCTCTGCCTCTTACGAAGTCCTTTTAATAAAGTCTTTTTTCATAAATGTTTAAAGTGACTTACCTGCTGAGAAGCTCTGTTGATACTCACAAGTCTCAAAATGGAAAAAGTTACCTGAAAGGGAGGCGCCGTAGGTTTTTTTTTTTTTTTTTTTTTTTTTTTAAACAAGGATGCATGCCATCGCCCAGGAAACCCTCCCACTTGCAACACCTGTTGGAAAGCACACACCCTCTTTCAACACACATTTATTGCACCGCACAAAAAGGCTATGACAACAAATTTTCCTGTGTTTTTCCCTGTGGGATCAAACTGCCACACCCTGTGACAGAGTTGAACAGTTTCCAGCAGTATCCTATTGGATCCCAACCTGTTAGGCAAGCCAGGATCATTCAGCACACACATTTTCTCAAGAATCACAATTACATGAATGACAACATTTACATGCACAAAGTATCCGTTTTTTCCCCTTAATTCGAGAGACAACTTTCCTCCTAAATTGTTTACATGACTAATAAAAATTAATATTCCACTAATATTCCTGTTTACATTCAGCGGCACATACTCAGATTAACGTGCCCTAACATGTCATTTATCATGCCAAAATAAAGAAAAGTGGAACAGCTGGAGCTCCATTTTAATTCTTTGCTTTAAAATAGGATGTGTTTTTGAAAGTTTGACTGAGCCGCACATTCTGAATACGCTGTACACATATCCAAAGAATGCTCCCAAAACTTAACTGACAACAGCAGAAAGAAAATGCCTCTTTCAGAAAAAGGCTTAATTTGGAAAATCCAAACAGACTATGCTGTTTACATGACCCATATCAAATTCAGAACATCGTCATATTTGGAGTAATACTGGAATATTAGTGTGGATGTAAATGTAGTCATTTTCAGACTGACTGAGGTGGTCTGGGAATTTCAATCTTGAGGTGTTGTGCAACAGAGAAAAAAGCAAGCCAAACAAGTTGAGACAGACATCTCTGGGGCAACTGTACTCTTTGGTTTTGTTGAAATTCTTGCATTCCAGATACCACAAAAGAACCACACACTTTAGAGCAAGATGGAGAGTCTCACAGCCAGTAAAGAACAATATTGTTATCATGCTGATTAAAAAAACATCTATGCAGATATTCCATCTGTTGCTACTCATTAGAATTGGATGGATCCAGCTAAGAGATTAAAAAATGATTACTGTTCATCAGTAATAATGAAAGCATACTGAGTGAAAACATATCCCACACAACACAGGCATTGGGTCTGAATGCTTTATTACCATAATCAAAGACAAAGGGAGTGTACAATATACATAAGCCCAAGAAATAAGCTAATGGAGAATCAATGAGCTGGCTGTCAGATATTGATATCTTTCAGTGGACACAAAACACAGATGACAGCAAAATCAGTCTTCCTCTCCTCTGGATGTTTCTCTGGGTGACAGCAGAAATCAGATCAAATGAAGTTTGTTTATTCTGTTGGGTACAAAAGCAACACAGTACAAAAAGGCAGAACACCAGTAGACTCCTCTATACTAACGACCCATTTTATCATAGAGCTCCACTTTAACAATGGCTTTGCCAATGGAAGACATGGTAGCCCTCACTTCGACATATGTAGCTTTATATTCCAGCCCGCAGCCATGTGTCTCAGAGCGGGTGAAGCCAGTTAGATCTTTCCCATCATACATCTGGTCATACAGATGTTTGTCACAGGCACGGGAATGCTCGAACACACCCACGGCCAGCCGGTTCTTGTACAGGTTGTGGTCATAGGGCACAGAGAACATGATGGCCACGCGCTCGGAGCAAACCCGGCTCTGCATATGGAAGAGGTCATAGATCAGTAGGCCAACAGCACCCGTGGCAGTGTTGTCGTCCTTGATGAAGGAGCACACTTCAGTCATGTTGGGACGAACAGTAGGCTGGGGCGGGTGGTGAGAGAAGCCACTTGACATGTACACCCTGTACAAGAGAGCAGGAGACAAACCCATACCATCATCGCCAATCAACTTTTATGTCACACTTCCGAGATGTTTGATGAAAGAACAAGTTTTGCAAGTTTTGTTGGAGATTGTCAGTGTACTTTTCAAGTGTTGGGCTTTCCAGGGTACCTGAACCACCTTATGCTGATGGATGGAGTGTGACTGTGCAAGTACTGCTGTGGACTTCTAAGCAACAGTGAGTGTTCCTGCATGCGATGTGCAATGAGGCAGTGTGTGTCACTGCATGATGGATAGGTGGATGTTCTCAGCAAAGTGATGTCACACATGAAAACCACCCATCCAAGATATGGTCTGTCCTGCCACAGCTAGATAAATGTGGAAGCATGGTGGAAATTCCAATAGACGTGGGTCGTTCTCATGTATTTTACTGTTTAGTTTTACTAGCGGAAGTGGATGAAACTGGCAGATTGCATTATGGAGAAATAGGGAACCCAATCTAATAACTTATTTATGTTGGATAGATAGTACACTGACATTCCACTTGCAATATCATTGACCTTCACTTAAAAGTGACTACAGTATAACCACACTGAATTAATATAGACTTTTTATGCTGGAAATATGTTTTTTTTTTTCTATGACTATTAGAGAGAAAAAGTAAGTTGTCATTTTTCCTGAAAGGACTGCACACTAATATTATCAAGATGCTGATTAGAGCTGTAATCAGGCATTGCAATCTCAAAGCACTTCAAAGCAACACATTAAAGCTTTTGAAAATGAATACTTCTCCCTGGAACCAATCAAACTTAAGTACACACACAGGCCATGATACTATGCAGAGGCTTAGTCTCTCTAAGTGCAGAAAAAAATGTTGATGCAGGTGACTAATAGACTGAGCTAACTTACACTAAACTCCAATTTAGAGAAGTGTTTTATACAAAAGAATAAAAGCAAATGAAATTTTCAAGACAGTTTTTCATAAATTGCAATTTCTATGGCATTATTTTTTACTGTATGAGGTCGTTCATTAATTTGTACTTTTTTTCAGTGAATATTTTCATGTCTTCATCTGATGCAGTTAAATCTCAAATGTTATGTTCATTTAACCACTTTTACATGTAAATACATTTACAGACTTACTTTGGGTTGACGAGGCAGTAGTTACCGCTGACGTTGGTTATTTCTATGGTGCAGTTTCTGTTGGTGGTGAGAGTGGCTGACACAGCTTCTGCAGTTTCTGGCATCTTGGCTGCAAGAGAAACAGGACTGAATGCTTAGAACAGTATATCTGCAAACAGGTCACCATTCAGCAGGCATTTTGCAGAAAATGAATAAAAAAGATGTGAAGTATTTAGGTTCTACGACATATTGCTTCAAAAGAAAAATAAAGGCAAATTGCCAGTAGCCAAACCAAGCTGATTTTCCTCCACTCAATCGTGAAAAGAATTTTTTAATATATGTTCTACAGTATGTGGATATAAAATGTGAATATAGTTTATATGAAAACTCTTGTCTAAGAGTGAAGGATAATTAAAGACATAGATCGCAGTTAAGATATAATAGTAGGAGTAATTATATTCACCTTTTGGAGTTAAACACGCAAGTTGTGCTAGACGGCAGCCTCAGGTTTACTTTTTTTTCTCAGATCCTGCACAGAGGTGGAGAGTCTCCCTTGTGTGATTACACCTCCACAGTGCTTGTTCCAACAAAAGCATGGGCGTGTCCACAGTGAAGTGAGCACACACCATCTCTTGTGGAAAGTTTTATCTCAAAAAGTTAAAACTTGATCCCATCAAATTTGAAGCTAGCTAACGCGTCATTGTTTTTTTTTTTTATTAACTTGTGTCCTGCCAACATGAGTAGGTTTATGCACAATAAGGCATGATGAACCTCCCTTTAGCTCCTACAACATTCTCTTATTTTAGACATTTGCTCAGTGGAGGAAGAAGTATTTAGATCCTTTACTTAAGTAAAAGTACTGATATCATACTGTGAAAATACTCCACTACAAGTCAAAGTTCTGCATTCAAAACCTTACGTAAAAGTATGTTATCAGTAAAATGCGCTTTAAGTATAAAAAGTACAAGTATGCTTTGTGCAATAAAATGTTCCCTGTCAGTGTTTTACAATATATGATGTTTCTGGATTAACATTATTACTGCATTAATGTGTATGTTGCAATTTACTGCTGTAGGTGTGTACAGTTGTGCTGATTTTACCTCCTTTACATATTTTTGAGTTGTGCTGGGTACACCCATGCTTGAAAAACAGAGCTTACAAAGTGCTTTGAAAAACAAAGCAAAGCAGAAGTGGGATATCCAAGAGGCATCTTACGACCACAAAACTATTTTTACAGACCAGACTATCCAGCTAGTCTGGAAAATTGTTGACTTTCTGTCACAGCCCTAAACTCATCTGAACAGAACATACATCAGAGTGAACATAAATGACATATGGAGTTACCCAAGGCACTAGCCTTGGGCATCTTTTGTTCAGCTGTGATTGGATGTGCCAAAATTTCCTCCTGTTAAACAAAGCTAAAAGTTTTACCATATAAATAAAATACAAATCTTGTTTACTTTCAATTCTTGAAAACTAAATGTTACTAGAATTAAAGGATGGTGAATAACCTTTTAAGTGCTAATATAGACTGTACTTGAGATAAAAGCTGAAATTTGTATTTAAAAATCATCATTTTATACAATATGCAAATGAACTTTCAATTTTTGTCAGGTGACATTAGTCACATAACTGAAATGAACTGTTTTGAGAAAAAACAACAACAACACTTTGCTATAAGGGTTGTTTGTTATAGTTTATTCTTGGGATACAGGAACCCCAGTTGGTAGACCTTGTATGTTAAATATGACGGTAGGATGAATGTTAATATCCTACAATCAACATACATAGTAAGCATTATCAATAATTCTAATTAGGTGAATCATCAAACTAATTTATGCTTTAATGAGACAACATCTGTGTCAGCATATTTGCCTTCACATCAGACATGGATGGTATTGATATCACCTCTGTATGTTGAAGGATTAAAGACTTAAAGGTCCAGTGTGTAGGATTTAGTATCATCTAGCAGTGAGGTTGAAGAGCTGAAACTTCTCCTGTGTGCCAAGCGTGTAGGAGAACTATGGTGGCCAACAAGAAAACACAAAATAGGGAGTGGCCCCATCTGAAGCCAGTGTTTGAGTTTTCTGTTCTTGGCTACTGCAGAAGTAACATGGCAGACTCCGTGCGAGAGGATCCGCTTTGTATGTAAATAGAAATGGCTCATTCTAAGGTAGTGATAACAGGTGATTATAAACTAGTTAAAACATAGTAATTAACACTATCTACCATTTCTGCCAATATACCCCCTGAAATACTACACTCTGGACCTTTAAGGTGATTTAGATAAAATGTTTTTAATCTCACAAAAGTGTAATTTAATGCAACACAATGTGGTGGAATCATATCAGATGATCTACTCTGTAGTTTAAACTGTATTTCAACTATTCTTAGGTTATTTTAACAATTTAACCGATGTCATTTCATTTTTCAATTAACTTTGTCCTTACGGGACCCTTTGCAGCTCAGTTTAGTAAAGATCCTTATGGAACATTTCATGTTCTGACTAGCCTGGAATGTAACTTTAATCCTCCGGGCACTGCTCAACTGATTATTGTTGTAGTTGCAGGTGATGGCTAGGGACAGATTCCTGTTGGAACCTCCCTACAGCGGTCACAAATTTCAACACACTGTCTGACTCTTATATCACTAATTCTTTCACTGCCAACACTGCTCCCACTGGAGCGCGGAGTCGAAGAGGAGACACTCCCTATTTCCATGCAGGAGCAACTTACAAAAACAATGTATTATGTAACACAGCATAGTACACTGCAGTGTTATATTTATCCATAAGATTATAGTGCCTGAGGGTCTTCCCAATTAAGTTTGTTTTGCAAACTTAGTGTGTTTCGAGATGTGTTCATTATACCACCAACCAATTCAAGTAATATTATAGCAGCTGTTCTATTCCATACATCAGGCGCCTGGAACTTGATATAAATCCTTCAACTCCAATGCTTGAAGTCACCAGATGGCACCAAACATGCATTTGCAAAAATACATTTGCACTACACAGACTTTGTCAGTTAATGTTTGCTTTCTGATGGTTAGCCAGTGACCGTGGCAGAAAATCTCTGACAAACATTACATATTCAGCATGCCCTTCATTATGTTCTGTGAAAAGGGCATGGCTGCATTCAAACAGTCATAGGCACAGCACTATATATCAAGAGCTTTATAAGTGTACGGGAAAAGAATTAGATAGTTGATATAAATGGACACATAGTAGTTGGTCAAGGATGATTTAGTACGCTAATGTTGAATTTTTTTCTTTGCACTCTTAGAGGTAAAATATAGAAACAGCTGGCGACAATCTTTCATCCACTGAAAAAAAAAAGAAATTCAAAAAAACAAAAAACTACACTTTGTATTTACTACAAGAAATGGGCACCATTGTCCTGTTACACAGTCACCTATTCAATTACACACTTTATCAGCTACTTTATGTCAGAATAGATTCAAATTTCTTCCTTATTTTATAAGCAGGTGTGTTAAGTTTAATCACGCTGTACAGTTATCTTTGCAGTTTCTGAGAACAGTTGGTAAGAGGCAATTAAGAAGGTGACAAAAAGACAGAATGTCAGTAATCTCTATTCGTAGGTTACTGAGGTTTTTAAAGTGTTATGGTGACAAAGATAAATGTATGCTACAGATGAAACCATATTTAATTATAGTGGCTGCGGTAACAGTATCTCAACCTCATGTCACTCATGTTGCTTTTTTAGCCTGCTGGACACCGTTACTTACATCCCTCTCTCAGTCTGTGTTATATGAGGAAAGTGTCAGTTTAATGTTTTTTTTTTTTTGTTTGTTTGTTTTTTTAAACACTATGAAAATTTTTCGTCAAAATCATGTAGATTATTGTATATAGATTGCAGCAGCTATCATTAACCCCAAATCTGAGTTAAAGCTGAACAAATATGATTTTAATATTACTGCGCACTCTGTTTCCATTCTACTGCTTATTTACTGTTTTGTCTGTTTAGCCTGGATTAAACTTTAAAGTGAAACGTTGTGTCAGCATGTTGTCATTAGTGATCATTTTACTGCTCTGAAAATAGCTGAGCCACTTCAAGTTCATTTGCACGACAGTCAAGATTGCATTGTAATCAACATCTTGATAGCATTATGTTTTTGTTTGCTTTATAGTCCCCATGTGTGATAAATACAATACACTTCTGTCACAAACAAAGACAAGGCTTGAACCCATGTCTGGCAGGGTGAAAACAGACTTGCAAGCCTAAAGGTAGCAAGACGTTTAGACGATAAGTGGCAGCAAATGGGTCATTAACAGGAAGGATGAAACACTAAGAATCAGCCACAGTCACACCACAAAGTGACATTTGCTCATCCACGTGAATTGTCAGATAGCAAACTTGTTAGCTTACTCAGTCGCTAACAGGATGAGCTGATGCTGTTTATTCAAAAGGTGTATTTGTACAGTGTTATTGACTCCTGTCGATGACGCTTGAAATCAAAAGCCAATGTGGTTCTGATATAATGTTCTGCAAGTTATGGTCGGTGCCACTGCTATATGTGCTAAATCACAATCTTTTCATCTAAACCAGATAGTTTTGTTACCTGAACCAAGCCGTGGCCATTTCACAACATTAACCACATGTGACAATTTGTTTCAGCTGTGTATCACATAGATATGGTTAAGGAGGCCCTGTGCATTGTTATGAGATGCCAAGGGGCGTGACAAAGTACGGTATTTAATGACCTGTGAATGAGAATGGGTTGGGTTGTCACATTGAGACAATATTTACCGACTTGAATCCCCATGTGTCTCATATGACTGTATGAAAAGAGTTAAAATTTATACAAGGTAGGCATATTGTTTGGTTTTCGGGCATGGCCAAATGTTGGTCGCTTTAAATGTTTGTGCTGCAAGGAATTGTGGGGTGGCATTATCTCCTTTCTTTTTTGTAAAGGATGGTCCAGTGTACACTATGGCAAACAAGATAAAGGAAGCACTGAAGCACCTTTCCTCAGCATTTAGAAAGTTCGACCAGCTCTTATCATGGCTGTCACTTAGATACTTTTGGATCATTTTACTCAGTTAGAAACCTTTCCAAGCAAAACAAACAAAAATGTGTGTGACTGCAGCCCTGTGTGATCAGTATTTTTTGACTAACTGATTATATGCTGAGACTAATGAGAAGCAGGTGTGCATGCATGTGATGCCTCAGGTGACAGACTGGGGACACCTGGTGGGCAGGTGTGCAATAGCATGTCTGAAACAGCGGGAGATGTTGGTAAACAGCAAAATGAATCACTAAGCAGAATCAGATGAAGAGGAGCAGGGATGAGGAGGATGGAGCAGCTGTTGCTATGACAACGCCAGTAAATCATTCACAAATGATTTCGATTGCATGTAATAATATGAGTAGAAATATGAGACTGTCACAGGCTTTCTAATCTGGTTCATGATATTTGTCCTCAGATCAGACGCAATTGTCAGAAATTGTCTGATTCATAGCACAAAGAAGAAACCAGGAGGAACGCCTCCTCCACTCATTTATATTGAGGAAGTCAAATACTATATGAACCTCATATACCACTGAAAAATGT